TCCCCCACACCAGGTGTGGAAGCCTATTGCACCAGTTTCACTACTGGGGAAAACCAAGAAGTCAGAGGTCCTTAAACCAACTCCTAACAAGACCATTCAGATAGAGGCAAGACCAATACCTTCAAATAAGATGCGCAGCAAGCCTCGTGCTCCTACTTCTACTGGACAGACTCAGCCTTTCTCCCTTGACCACGACTACTGCCTCCCTCCAAAAGAACCCTGTCAAAATGAAGTTGGCAGTCGGTGGAATGTCAAACAACAGCCTAGCATTGTTATCAAGACCGTTGAGCTGCCGCCCAACAAGCCAGCCCAGAGCAGCATCTCCAAAGCAGTTACAGAGGGAACCCAGAGAAATCTCAACCTCAGTCAACCTTCTGCAGATAGGTGTACATTAAATAGCTCTGCTTTGGAGACTCCGGACACCTCTCCAAACAGACCTGACTCTGAAAGCTCTTTACTGGGTGAAGCAAAATGCAACCAGCAGAAATTTGTGAACTACTCTGAGCGTTCCTCCAGACAGTACCAGCAGGACAGAGGCCACTCGAAGCGAAGATACAGAGCCCGATCCTCTAGTAGCTCAGAATCCAGCTCCGAGTCCTCAAGATCACGTTCACCACCTAGGAAAAGGTCAGCTTTGATGTGGTTATACACATTTATAATGATTAGAAAGGAATGTTGAAAGCACATCATTCTAGAGGATTTTGCCAAACGTGTATTTTTACATTTTACAGATACAGGTCTCGTCTCTCAAGCAGCAGATCAAGTTCATCATCTCGGTCTCGTTCCCGATCCAGCTCAAGGTCATTTTCCCCACCCCGCCGGCGACGGTATTCATATTCAAGTTCACACTCTGGATCCTGGAGCCGCAGCCGCTCTCGATCCAGATCCCGCTCCTCTGACATCGGGCATAGGCGTTGGAAAAGTCATAGAAGGTGGCCACATGTTTCAGTGTAACATAGTATCTTTGAGATACTATTACAGTTTCTATTAATGTTTTGAATTTGATTGTTTTTATTTTCCATTTTCATTTGAAAGTTTTAGTAGATATGTTGTTCATATTTTTTTAATTTGTTTATTTTAGTTAAGACATCAAGTTAAAAACTTAAAATTAAAATGAGAACACTTACTTTGGCAACTAGCTGAAATCAAGTTTACTTGTAGATTATATTTTATTTCAAATAACATGTTTTTTTATGGTTATGTTTTAGTTTACTATAATAATCCTAATATGTTTTGATTTGATTTTATTGATAGCCCTGATCAAAGATCTGGTTACTGGTGTTCACAAAATTCCAATGAGGATTCAAAAACACACAAGGAGAAAGCAATTGTGAGTATTTCAATCAAGAAAGATGTGTCCTTTGGACTTTTATCAAAGGCACCTTGGTGATTTCTAACATCATAATTGAAATGGTGTGTAGGAGGAGCGGAGAATTGTTTATGTTGGACGAATTCGTGGAAGCATGACTTGTAAAGAGCTGAAGGAACGCTTCTCATTCTTCGGAGAGATTGAGGAGTGCACTGTGCACTTTAGAGAAAATGGGTATGGCTTTTTTAATTGTATTTAGTTGGTATATTGTTTAAACTAAAAAAAGAATGTTACTAACACTCTTGTTATTTCAGGGACAACTATGGCTTTCTTACATACTACAACATGAAGGATGCGTTTGACGCTATTGAGAATGGAAGCAAGCTGAGAGAGCAGAATGAGCTTCCATTTGACCTGTGCTTTGGAGGCAGGAGACAGTTCTGCAAGACCAGTTATGCTGATCTTGGTGAGCTTAGCATCATGTCTTTTTTTCTTTAACCCTTAAATGCTTTAATGTTTTGCCAACACTACTACATATCCAGGTCTTTAGTGACCCGGACCTATATATCCAGCATGGATGGATCTGCTCTGCAGTAAAGCCATTCAAACCACTTCAATTTTTGCTGATGATATTCGTTTGTTTTATAATGGCCTACGGTAATTATGAGTGAAACATCACGTCATCATTGTGTATCAGTGCCACCTCGAGGAATAAAGGTGCATTGCACATATTGAGTCATCAGATATGTAAACATGGTTGTGCAGGAAAAATATACTTACACATTTACATACCTTGGGTCTCTAGAACCCTATACACCTTTTTACAAAAAATTTATCTGAAAACCGGAATTTTTTTTTTCTTAATTTTTTTATAATGAATAGATTGAGGAATACTAAGAAAGTAAAAGTTTAAAACATGAAAGGGGGAGAGGGTAGGGAATGATGTTCCCGGTCGCTAAAGACACGAGGTATGCATTTAATATATAATATTTATATATTTATAAATGTATATTTTTTGCAACTGAACTTTTTATGCTATTCAGGGTGTCGTGTTCTCAGGTGATAAATGAAACCAGTCTCACTAAATTTCTTCAGCAACGTGTAGCCTCTCCATTTCTGATTCAGATTTTACATATTGCTATTCTAGCATCAGTTTTGGTCACAGTTAAGTGCATCAACACTGCTGACATATTTACATGTTGTAACTTTAGGGCAATAGTTGATGTTTCTGCCATATATTTCCGGTTGGTGAAATTTTCGTGCATCACTAATTTAGTCTCTGAAAATGTTCCTGTCAAAGACTCCAGATGCTAGTTTGTTTTTGGTTTCTTTCAGATTCAAACCGGGAGTACGATCCACAGCCTACAAAAGGCAAATTTGATGCACTAGACTTCGACACTTTACTCAAACAGGCTCAGAAGAACCTGAAAAGGTAACGATTAGTTAAGCCACAGGAGAGAAGACCGATTACCTCTGAGCAAAATGCTGCCCCACACTTCCAGAGTTGCCTCTCAATTACTGTTTTGGGTTGTTTTTGTTTGTTTTGTTTTTCTCTTTGTGTTTTTGTTTGTTTCTGCAAGTTTACACCTTCTATTGAAGTGAAGATTTGTAAGAAAAATTGAAAGTGCAAAAAAAAAAGATCATGAAATATAATGAAACTGGAATGAAATAGAATTTTTTTTAAAGGATTAAATTTATTTAAATGTTTAATCTGAATTGCTGAATGTTGGATACATTTTAAAATGAACTGAATGGAAACATTATGTTGGGGAAAACGGGTTTATAATGCTGAATTTATTTCAACCTAAATAAACCTGAGATAAAAATTATTTCTTGTCTTTTCTAAGATTAAAAATCAATGTCATTCTCTCTTGAACAGACCCTTGTAACATACACGTAAAATTTGTGTCAGATGTCGTCCAAATAAGCAACATATTGATTAGTGTATAAATAAATGGGGTTCTCATTTTACAGAAAAATTCAGATGAATCGCATGTCATAGCTCAATTTTAAGTGAGCGTGAACTTACAGTGCTTTCGAGCTGCTGTTAGGCTACGTGAGAATATGGTGTCTGTATGATTATATGCTGGTTATAAGGCCAATAACAAAGCCATGAATCTGAAGCAGGTAGTCAGTGGAGCCAGTGGTCCTTTTTGGTTGATTGAAAATCAGATGCACAGCTGTGTTCTGGATCATCTCTGTTTTGTCTGTTTCTCTAATTGTTCTGGATTGAAGGCTGGTCAGCAGAGCATTGCAGTGGTCTTGATCAGTACCTTAACTTGCCATGTTCATTTGTTGCTGCTCCGTAAACCTCTTGACACGTTTGCCACTGTGATGACAAACGCATGTAGATGGAAAGAGTTAAGGAACAGAGAAGACCAGTTTTAGAGATGTTTTTATGATATTAATATCAACATAAGTTAATTATCTTTTGTATTTATAGAGATGTACCTCCTTGGTGAATACGTTTTCGTCCTAGTCTCACACAAGAAGCAACACTACTGTGTTCCAGTATATGACGATATAATCGTAGTAGAATGTTCAGGTGCAAATAAATAAACTGCAACCTGATGACACTATTGGAATGTTAACTGACCTGCACAAAAGGAATTCGGTATGGAAGTGAGAACACAAATAGCAAGACATAAGTGCTACTTTGAAGCTCAATTTACTGTAAATGTTTACAGCTCGAGTTAAACATAATCATATAATGATACACTTGATATATCAAAAAATTTCCAGAACGTGAGCTGTATATTCACTTTGTGTTTCTAACAATAAACGCATGACATCCATGACATTTTTTTTTTTACTGCTGTAATGCAGGAAAATAAGAAATCATGTTCTGCTTTGTCTCTGTTTAACTAGTCTAAAATTATTCAAATGTCATGCGTCTCGTATAAATACATTTATGGACATTTAGTCACGAGAACACTTTCTCGGATTATTCATTCTGGACGATGTGCGTTGAAACTAGCGCTGAAGCGATGGAACGAACCATTCACGATACATAGAGGGGTGATATTTCATACGCAAGAGGCCAATGGCCGCTGAATGTGATAGGTAAACATGCCCTAGCTGAACTATTTTATCCCCAAAAAATATATCATTGTAATTCCTATATTGTAATGTCTCTGCTATTGTACTATTAATGAACGTTATTCATAGCCGCACTTTTAAGTATGCGCACGTCTGCACAGAGACTGTGGACGTAAGAGATGTTCATCTCAATTCTCTTCCGGTTTCACAGAAATCATCTACGTTTATTAATATAGGTCGTTTTCTACTCTTTGTTTATTCAGAGAACACTAACCTTATACAACACAATAATTAATAAACAAGGAAAAGGACACTGGGTTAGAGATACAAAGGAACATTTTATACAACTTAAAAAATACTTGGTCTTTATCATCTTTTTAATGCAAAGAGTCTCCTATAATGACAGTGTCTCTGATTTTGCTCAGAAACACAAAGTTCCTTTGTACTAATAAATGTACACGTATAATTGTATAAAAGGTATCCACAATTATTATAGGATGAATTAAATGAAGAGGTTGCCCTCCACCATTCTCATTCAGACTGGACAAGAGCTAATATTCCCGCTGCCCCTTTAAGAGCTTTGCTAGAGATTTGTTTTCAGACTCGCACAAACCGTCCTTTACTGGTTCAAACCAGTTTTCTGAGTCTGCGCAGTAAGTGTAAACAGGAAGAAGAGTGCAAAATTAAACCGCGTCGACGAACATTGCGTTACATTGACAGGATCTGTTTGAAGTCGCAATGCAGGTGTACAGTAAGCTTAAAGGTCATTAATTTATGTTTAGCACATGATGTAAAGTGACTCGACGAAAGTTATTAGAGAAAACATCGGGTAATGCTAATTTGCGGTTCTGGCATCGTTGAAACACGGGTCCAGTTCGCTTGCACCAGAGCGAGCAGACAGTCCAGATATAGTCCAGAAAGCCTTTAACACTGTACGTGAATGACTGTCGTGTTTTTAACGAAGAAATCTGCAGCTAACGTTAACGTTAGTTCGTGCAGATAATCTGCATCCGATAGAATTCCGCTCCCTACCGGTGACTCGATGACCTACTAACCCAGTAGTGAATCGAGTTAGTGTTTCTGTATAAGAAAGCCTTTGGCTGACGACTAGACCGATAATTTCAACAGAATTCAAAATGGTTCAGAAAGACAAAATAATCGAGTCGACACAGTCAGACAGTGAAGCAGATCCAGTGCCAAGCGAAGCTGTTGCGGATACGCAGTGTCCGGTGGACGAGCCCAGTATCGGGGTTGAGCGAACGGGCCGCAGGAAATTCATCACCGGTGTTGTGGAGGGTGAGCGAATTTAGACAAATCCAACGTAATGTTGCCTAATGTAAACCATATGCAACCATTAAAATGAGTCTACATTGCTAGAAAACAATGCAATATATTTTTTTATTGCTTAGGTGTTGATTGACTGTAGCATCTGTTTGTGGAATATGCTGCGTTTGTCAAAACCATTAGTTTTTTCTTATTTTGTTCACCACAGGCTTCTATGGACGGCCGTGGACTATGGAGCAACGGAAAGAGCTTTTCAGGAGGTATTGTGCAAACGTGCGAACATCCTGCCCCTTTCTGATTCAATTTGCCAATAAATCTCATTTTGTTTCTTTTAGACAGGTTTATACATGCTATTGTAATTGCTAATATAATTTTTTTTTGTTTAGCCTAAAAAAAATCTTATTTTATATTTGATGTGTTTCAGGCAGCAGAAATGGGGGTTGAACACCTATCTGTATGCCCCAAAAGATGACTACAAACACAGAATGTTTTGGAGAGAAATGTATTCTGTTGAGGAAGCAGGTGAGATATTTATTTTCATGCTCTTTAAAAAGGTACCGGTCGTTATGCTTTATTTGGCTTATGTTTATGAATCTAATGTCTTTTGCTTTTAAAGATCAACTCACAACTTTAATAAGTGCTGCTGAAGAGCATGGGATTGAGTTCATTTATGCCATTTCCCCTGGCCTGGACATTACATTCTCAAATCAGAAGGAAGTGTCAACACTTAAAAGGAAGTTAGACCAGGTGAGAATTAACCTATTCGGAAGCTTATACTGTGTTGGTGTCAGTGTTTTTATGATCTACATCCTCAATCTCTGTTTGTCTTTTGTGCAGGTCTCTCATTTTGGGTGCAAGTCTTTTGCCTTACTGTTTGATGACATTGATCATAACATGTGTCCAGCTGACAAGGAGGTATTCAGCTCCTTTGCACATGCTCAAGTGTCTATCACCAATGAGATCTTCCAATATTTGGGAGAACCTGAAATATTTGTATTTTGCCCCACAGGTAAGATGATTATTATTACTTACTAACCATGCTGCTTTGTGTGATGCTAATGTATTGTTTCTATTTCATACCTTCTCATAATTATGTAATGTTTCCTTGTCTTCAGAATATTGTGGAACATTTTGTTATCCAAATGTGTCACAATCGCCTTACCTGCGCACAATAGGTGAAAAGCTGCTTCCTGGTATTGAGGTGCTGTGGACAGGTAAGTTGTGTCTTCATTGAGGGGACTGGAATAATAGTTTGCTCTCTTGAGGGTTTTAACGATGCCTTTCCGTGTTTGGCAGGTCCCAAAGTAGTTTCTAAAGACATAACTGTTGAATCTATTGAAGAAGTCACGAAGATACTAAGGAGAGCTCCTGTCATCTGGGACAATATTCATGCTAATGACTACGATCAGAAGAGACTTTTCTTGGGGCCTTATAAAGGCAGGTCTACAGAACTCATCCCTCGGCTGAAGGGAGTCCTCACCAACCCCAACTGTGAATTTGAGTCTAATTTTGTGGCCATTCACACGTTAGCCACGTGGTATAAATCTAACATGAATGGAGTGAGAAAAGATGTTGTCATGAGTAAGTATGTCTTTATGGAAACATTGTTTTTATAATACTTTTATATATAAAAATGAGCACATTTTTTCTCTTAAAAGGTAAGTTCACCAAAAAATGAAAATGCTCATCATTTACTCACCCTCATGTCATTCCAAACTTATACGGCTGTCTTTTTTCTGTTGAACATGAGATTAATATCTATCTTCGAACATTTACAGTTCCAATATACTTTCATTGTAAGAACAAAAAATAAGTTATAAATGTTAAAAAATAAATTATAAAAGATATATCTTTCAGTTAGCAAGTAACAATGATCCAATCGAATCCAAATGGACATTATTTTTTTTCTCATTTGGGAAGTCGTGGCCTAATGGTTAGAGAGTCGGACTCATAACCCAAAGTTTGTGGGTTCGAGTCTCGTACCGGCAGGGATTGTAGGTGGGGGGGACTGAATGTACAGCGCTCTCTCCCACCTTCAATACCACGACTGAGGTGCCCTTGAGCAAGGCACCGAACCCCCAACTGCTCCCCGGGCGCCGCAGCATAAATGGCTGCCCACTGCTCCGGGTGTGTGTTCACGGTTTGTGTGTGTTCACTGCTGTGTGTGTGCACTTTGGATGGGTAAATGCAGAGCACTAATTCCGAGTATGGGTCACCATACGCAAAGGATGTGGTAAAATTACTTCACTGTCATCACAATAGAAAAGACAATTGCAATTTCCGTTTCATGCTGATTCAAAGCAGTTAAGATTTTAACGTGGATTTATGTCCCTAGAACTGCTAATATTCTGAGATGGATTTTTTCCTTATGAATTCTACTTTATTCTTAATGTTCTACAAAAAAGTTAGGACAGAGTGCTGTTTTTTTACTAAGTGAAAATTTTGGCTCATATTATTGATCAAGATTGACTTAATTCATCAACATTATATCATATTTGTGTGTTTAATCTTGTTTGATTGTAGCTTCATAACTTCTCATTTCTGTGTGTAGCGGACAGTGAAGACAGCACTGTGTCCATCCAGATAAAGTTGGAAAACGAGGGCAGTGATGAGGAGCTAGACACAGACATCCTCTACAGCCCACAGATCGCACTCAAGCTGGCTCTCACTGAATGGCTGAGCGAGTTTGGAGTGCCTCATCAGTACAACAGTAACTATTTATTCTTTGTGTGATATTATATAACGTGATCTTAGTTGTTCTGAATTTGGTATCATCTATCTTAACCTTTCTTTCTTTGTTGCAGGTCGGCAGGTTCCTCACAGTGGAACTAAAAGCACTTCTATAGATGTTCCTGCACTCACTGTGCCCAGTCTGGGCACGTCCACTACAGTGACTACAGTCTTCCAACAGCCCATCATGAGTCCAAACGTGCCCCTTAGCGATGAACTGCTTGTGCTTGGCAAAGAAGAGGAGGTGGAGGTGGAGGTGGAGAAAAAGGAGTCTGACGAAGAACCCATGGAGATGGTCGTGGAGAAACACGATGAGGTGGAGGACACTAAAAATGTCAACCAGATCCTCACAGAGATTGTCAAGGCAAAAATGACAGAAGATCTCAGACCCATGGACACAGACAAAGAGAGCCTGACAGAGTCCAAGTCCCCAGAGATGTCCATTCAAGAGGATTCAGGCAGCGACATTGCACCGATGCAGACTGATGATCAGCTCAATAAGGAAGTGTTTGTTCCAGGCCCCAATGAGAAGCCGCTGTTTACTGCTGAGCCACTTACTCTGGAGGATCTGACCCTGCTAGCTGAACTCTTCTACCTGCCATACGAACACGGTCCCAAAGCAGTACAGATGCTGAAAGAGTTTAACTGGTTGAGAGCAAATAGCAATTATGTTAGTGTGAACGCCAACGCAAAGGATCCAGAGAAGGTGAGAATTGTCATGTTTAAAAACAAGGTTTTGTTTTTAAAAGTGTGTTTATCTTGGCCTGGACAGTCATAAAGATTAGTATAATTTTAAGATTAATCAATTCCTTGAAATTCCTATAATTAATGTACTTTTAATTCTTGTGTAGGGTAAAACATCCTTGTCTGATTTGTGAGATTATCATTCTTTAGAGTTGGTTGATTTTGAGTGAAATCTGCAAATTAACTGGTTCACAAATTAATCTGAATGATCATTAATTTGCCAATCAGAGTAGGTTTGATTGATTATTAATGGTAACATGTAAAAGTCAGAGATTTGTTGGTCAAAATGTATGGGAACTCATTTAATCTGTCATGGCCTTGTTTTTGTCCATGTTAAATTAAATATGAACAAAAATGTTTGCTCGATATACTTTAGTCACAAAATGGTGGAAATGCAGTAATTATTTTCACCACATGGTGGTGCGTTTATGACTCACTTTGTAGGTAATTGCACATATTTTGCAATTGTTGCTGAGCTGCGTTGAAGCAGGAGACGTTTGATAGTGTGGTTATGATAAAGGTGGTATTCATATGTTTCACATAGGTAGCCGAATGGCAATCCAGAGCGGAAAACTTTGAGGAGATGTGCTGCTCCGTCATCCAGATGTTCACCAGACTCTCCAACTCGGCCAACAGGACCATTCTTTATGACCTGTATCCCTATATCTGGGATATAAAGAGTATCATCTCAATGGTGAAATCATTTGTTCAGTGGTTAGGTAGGTACGGCGACATTTCTTTGCTGCTCCTCAAGACTTTAACCATGCTGAGCCCATGAAATACTTTAACTTTATTCAGTAGAATCCAAAAACAGTGAGCACTCATTTCAATAGCCATCGGTTTATAAAATGTTCAGATCTACACTTCATGCATTGCACTGTTTTACAGTGACATTGTTAAGATTTCAGGTGCTCAAAATGCATTTCTTAACAGATGGCAGAGCATATTTTTAGACTTGAGAGAGTAAATTAACACTTTTCTACTCGATTATAAGACCTTAGTTCTCACTCACAGTATGAACAGCTTCTACATGCGCTACTGAAATTTCTTGGGCGAAGTCTGCCGTTTATGGAAATTCAGTCTAGTGCACACTCGCTTTTTCTTACTTATTTTTACGTATTCTCTACTGACTGGATGCTGTCCTCATTGCTAGCCAATGCCACTCCTTCAGGCCACTCTTGATCAGGTAGAATGAATTGGACGGCTGTGGTCACAGTTGCCGGGGTGGGTCCTGCTGCTTGCTGTGTTTTCAGTATCATTGTGCGTTTACTTGGCAACATCTGTTGCCATCTCTTTCGATCAAGGGTGTGATCGTGAAGGAAAATAAGCCCCTAGCGCGCCGCGCATGCGATCTTGGAAAGCAAGGCGGCTGTGTAAGGCTATTCTGGTGCATCATGAATGAATACTTTGTATATGATGGATTTTCTTTTACCATGTATGCTGATTATGAGCATTATAGGAAGAGACTCCACAAACAACCTCAGTGTATGCTTTACTCTAACTGAACTGGTCTGGTCTGGTCACTACATTCCAGTGAACTGTACACAGTTCTCATGGTCCTAAATACAGTTGTGCAGTCAGCGAATTGAAGGCCCTCTTAAATGAGAAGCACTTGGGTCATTAGCCAGCCCTTTTATTTGATGATTTTATTGAGAGGCCTGTCACTTACTGAGAATGCCTGTGTTTGTTATCCATATAGCTTCTGGGCATCGCTACATAACAGTTAGAGTAACGGATTCTGCTCTAAATGAGGTTTTTGTTGGAAGTTGGTTGAGTAATTATAGCACCAGCATGGCCTGGGTTACCTTGGTAACCACATTTCATTCACAGGTTTCTGTCCAGCTTTATAACAAAGCATCACAGCAGGCAGCAACCAAAACTGGCATGCCACATCTAAGTTGTCATTAGCTGATGGAGGGGAAAATCAAGTGTATAATCTGCCACATTAATGAGGGTGTTCTGTACAATCTGATTTAAACTTTTGACTTGTTTTCTTAGAGCACCCATAAAGGCTTCTCTTTATTTGGGACGGCAAATGTTATGTTGATTTAACTGTTCCTTTAATGTAGATTTATTCATTCGGACTGTCCCCTCTCAATATGCTTTTCAGCCTCTGTTTGCACGGACAGTCCAAATCCCAGCGCATTTTCAGCCAGCATTTCTACGCTGTCCAAAGCAGTGCAGATGGCATTCAGTCAGCGGCTCACTGCTGTTGTGCTGAGATCAGTTACTAATTAGCTCTTTTATTGTCTTTTCCCTTCATTATGTACAGATGGAAGAATCTTCAGCACAAGTTTCTACTGCTATCGGATGGACAGTGCCCAATGTATACACAGTGCTGCGATTATCATTTTTGTTTTTGGGGGTTTATGGATATATTTTCTTTTTCATTATGTGCCCAAATGATTTTTTTTGTTTTTTTTCAATGTCTCAGGAAAGGAAATGCTTTGAAGTCACATTTGCGCTGCGATAGCTCAAGTGTTAGGTGTTAACCCCATAATTCTTTTCTCTGGCAGCTCTAACATGGTTTTTGTTTCTATCAGTAGGCCCAATTGAAATGGCACAGACCAGCTTTATCACACCAACTTAGGGGAAAATTGATACCCTTGACTCAGTCATCTAAACACACCTCCATAGTAAGACTATTAAGTTACAAAGCGAATTATCTTCTGAATATAAAAAAAAAAAAGCAAAGGATGTGGTAAAATTCCCCTCAGATGGTGAGTGTTGCTTGTCCTGCCATTTCACCACAGGATGTGTTTTAAGTATGATCAAATTGATTGAAAACAGGAGACCTTTGTCTCCTGGATTTGCGCTGCATTTGTCTTGTTACATGACGCCGAGTCCTCATCCCCTCACATTGGTACTGTTGTTTAGAAACGACTGGATTTCTAGTTGCAGTATAGAGCTTGTGTCTGCTCAACAGCAATAAAAAAATCACCCAATTTTATCATAGTTATCTGCTACGGGAGCAAGCAGGCGTAGTGACTGGAAAGATTCAGTTGTTGCAGACTTTTGAATTAGGTTTTTATTTTGTGACTTGCCCATGAAGGGTCCAGATTTGCTCCATCGATCATGTAAGATTTATGATTAACTTTTAATCTATCAAAAAAAATGTCCATGGTGGTGGCTGATGAAAGCGCTTGATAGTCATGTGACAAGGCAGATAGGTCTAAATGTGACTTCAGATGAAGGTTAGAATTCAGAGGGCTTAAACAGCTGAAGCTTATTTAGTAGCAGCGAGTGAACTGATGACATATCACCAACAACAAGCTGTCTAAAATGTAGGAAAAGCGATACAGCCAATTATTCTTAAATGTCTCATCTCTTCAAAACAGACTAGCAACATTTAGTTGAAGAGCTAGTGCTTGATACCTTATCCTAGATTGCAATACAAACCTCACTTAATTCTAAATGCCTAAGAATCATGTGAAAAATGAATCGTTTCAGTAATGCGCCCAAATCTGGCATTGCAGTCAGTGTAAGCCCTCTGTCATTGTAAGCTTAAAGGGTTAGTTCACCCAAAAATGAAAATTAGCCCATAAATTACTCACCCTCGAGTCATCCTAGGTGTATATGACTTTCTTTTTTCAGACTAATCCAGTCGGAGTTATATAAAAAATAATCTTTGATCTTTCAAGCTGTTTAATGCCACTCAGCTGGTGTTGCATGTATCCGTCCAAAAGCAGTTAAATAAAATGCACCCATCCATAAAAAAAAGTGTCTCACGTGGCTTCGGGGGGGTGAACAAAGGCCTTCTGTAGCAAATCTATGTATTTTTGTAAGAAAAATATCCATATTCAAAACGTAATAATCACTTTAATGTTGCTTGCGTTCACTGTTGTACACTGGAAGCAGTTCTGGGGGAATGACGTATGGAGGTCAGCTTTGCACATGCGCCACTCAGAAGTGACGTACGTGGAAGCGCAGGGGAGAGATCAAAACAAAACGAGGATTTGTAAAGAAGAATGTCGGAGGATTTCGGTATAAGCCAAAAGGAGACTGGTTTTCCTTTGCTAAAGTAAGGAAACTTTGCTTCCTTTGCTCCTGTTAACAAACGTTTTCACGAGACTCACTGGCGCATGCACCTCATAGGTCATTCCCCCGGAACTGCTTCCAGTGTACAACAGTGAGCGCAAGCTGCATTAAAGTGATTTATTATGTTTTGAATATGGATATTTTTCTTACAAAACCTATCGATTCGCTACAGAAGGCCTTTGTTCACCACCCGAAGCCATGTGAGACACTTTTTTTTTTTTTATGGATGGGCGCATTTTTTTTAACTTCTTTTGGAATGACGCATGCAACACCCGCTGAGTGGCATTAAACAGCTTGAAAGATCAAAGACCATTTTTAATATAACTCTGATGGATCATATACACCTAGGATGACTTGAGAGTGAGTATTTTATGGGCTAATTTTCATTTTTGGGTGAACTAACCCTTTAAGCTACTTGAGCCCTAGAGATAAATGCAGTTTTTACTGTTGTTGATCATGAGGTGTGTTCCATGATTGTAGTATCTACATTTTTCAATGAAGTTATTTGGAAATAAGACACCTCTATCCTATACCCCTTCCCCCTCATTATGCCAGAAAGCCCCTCACATAATGTTCTCCGCTTGGATCTGATCTCAACAGGGTGTCGTAGTCAGTCGTCAGCACAGTTCTTAAGTGGCGACCAAGAGCCCTGGGCCTTTAGGGGCGGTCTAGCAGGAGAGTTCCAGGTATCCAATATTGAATTACCAGCAAAATGTTACACGAAGATATATTTTCATTTGTTTTAGATGTTCGTATGGTTGCGAAAGGATACGGGTTGGTCTGTTTAAGGTGAGCTGTCAGCAGCTGCATAGAAAAATGAAGGGGTGTTGAGAGCCACTTGGGCTTTTTACTGAAGTGTAAACTGAAATGGGTCAGATCTAGTGTTTGGGGTGATGGTGTTTTCTAACCCAGCCTAAATTTGGATTTCTTTCAGCAACTGCCCAAATGAGATGCTGCTTTTCCCCCTGCGCTTGCGTCTGCGCAGCATGGCTAGGTTTTATTTTATGACATCTTGTTTCTTTGCAGGAAACAGCGCAAAAATTATCGCCACATTTTGTCTGCGCCTGCGTCCACAACACTGCGCTTGCGTGTGCGACTGCAAGCCTGCTCAAAGCTCCATGAACAAATGATTACTAATCCATAACCTCTGCATACTTAACATCTCAGAATGATTCAGCTATCTTAAATGGTCTGTCAAGGAAAATATGTTTTAAGCTGGAAATATTTGGTCATGGAGTTTTGCTTTGCGCGCCAGCTTCATCCTTTTCTCTACAGGAAGATCTTGCGCAGCGAAAAAGAGCGGGAAAGGAGCATCTCCTTTTGCCAGTTAAGCCTTTCTCAGACCAAGCCTGCGCAATTTTGTTTCATTTTTGTTTCTCTCAGAAAAAAAGGTGGAAATGGTTTTCAGTGGTGCGTATCTTATGTATGATGTTTACGTGCTCTTGCTGTATACTGACCGACCAGAGAAGCAAGTTTACTTGTGAAGCGATTTATTCCCATGCCGTTATTAGGCACATTCTTGTTTAGCTCCATTGTGTGAGGTCGGTTCAGCTGGAGCAGGTAAACAGCAGCTAAAGTGTCAGTAGCAGTGGAGTCACATGGTCAAATCTAGAGAGATACTAAACTGTACAATGCTTTTGCTTTGGTCTCCACAGAGACTGTTGCCAATTGATGGGGCAAATGATCTTTTCTACCAGCCACCACCACCAATGCCAACTTCCAAAATCTATACCCTAAGGCCTTACTTTCCCAAAGATGAGGTAGGTTTTGGCTGGGCATCAAACCACTGATATCAGCCATTTTATTTTCTATTTGCAAAATTGTGTGTATGCAACTTTAGCCATTTGTATGTTTTTACTTAAAACGTAAAGTCCAGACTAGGGTCAAGTAACTAGCTAGTTTGTAACTACCTACTATACCCTACTTAATGTGCTTGCACTATTTGTTCTTAAGGCAGAACGTAACTAGTAGTTCATAAGCTTTCCATTTACCTCCAATGATCCAAAAAACACTTTCTAATTCATAAGCAGAAGTTGTATTGAAATGCATTGATTTTCAATTTATGCTGTTAAGGTTGATCCTTATTTCTTCACATAAATAATTTTTAAAAAAAGTTTCCACTGATACTTAAGCATGAAATACCACGGTAGGTATTTTGTAAATAACATATATGTAAATAAAATTCCGAAACTGTACTTTAAACTTTAAATTAATAAGGAGCAATAAATTCTAAATACAAAGAATTGGGTTTGTGTTGAAGAGCTGCTAAGTCATTTATTTACATAATCTCTCTTTTTAAAATGTAAAGAAGTGTAAATGTATATCTAATGGATTGAAGTAAGTTAGGTAAAATATGAGCATTGCATTAATGATGCAATTCAATCAATTTGAGTTTTATTTGCTCACTTTATGAATGGGCCTTTGAATCATTGGTTCACACAATTAGTTCAAAACGCCTATTCATTCAGAAACTAAACACCGCTGTGTTGCTCACAGATGCACAATTCTGCTGTGGCTTTATAGGTAATATTTTTGTTATTACCTATAACAAAACTGAGCAAAAACAGACAACATTGTGTTTAAAATACAACACAATATTAACTTAATGTTTACTGAACTGTTGTGTAAAATCACATTTGCACTCAATCAGCACTCGTGTGTTGCGCTCGCTGTTGGTGTGGTATTGCATAATGTGATATAAATATGATTTCAATAAACTCATACAGGAGCATTTTTGCACCAATATTTTGAATTTTAGGGCATAACTGCATTTATGGAGTTGTTGCCCTGCATCATGTTTGTCAACTATGAAATGTAAGATGATGTACAGGTCTGGGGGCGGGGCCAGTGCGTTAACTGCGTAAAAATATTTGAATAGTGTTTTTTTTTTCATAACTAATTAATTAACGTGTTAAACTGACAGTCCTAATATATATACATACATACATTTTGATCAAGTTGATAAGTTAGAGACCTTTCTTGTATCAAATATGTTACAAATGTATCAAATAGGCTTTATATGGTAAAATGTTTAGAACAGCAACTTTAATAATTTTTCCCCTATAGAAAATGATGCTAAGTTTCCATGAGGAGGAGGAGGAAGGCTTACCAGAATCGTTCCTCAGTAATTTCCCGTCACTCATTAAAGTGGACATTCATGCAAAGGTTACCGACCCCAGTGTTGCCAAAAGCATGATGGGATGTCTCCTCTCATCATTGAAAGCCAATGGTAGGTAAAGTTAGGTTGTGTGGCATGTGCATTTATTTAACATGATACATTATTAAGTGCTATAGTAATAACATTGTTATTACACAGTAATTGGTTATTAAATACATTGTACATTAAAGCTGCATTTAAATTCTGTGTGATCTTCCCTCTCTTACCACACTTTACTTTGACTTTAGAAAGCAGTGTTTATAGTTCATAAATGTCGGATGTTGACATGTTAGAGGACATGAAAAGCTGCAGTGATTTGTTTAAATTCTTTGTTTCATAAACACATCTTTTCCTCGGTTGTCAGGTTCACATGGTGCTTTCTGTGAGGTCCGGCAGATGGACAAAAGGATGTTGGACTTTTATAGCAAACTGGGCTGCTTTGAAGTGGCCAAAATGGAGGGATTCCCAAAAGACGTTATAATAATGGGGAGGAGTTTGTGAATCTGAGCCGCTGAGAGAAAAAAAAAGCGTACAGAAGCAGCCTCCCAGAAATTGCACAAAGCTTCGGCCCCAACACGCTACCTGTTCATGTAACTGTCACAAGTTTTGTAATAGCAACTCTGGTGGCCTGTAGCTTCATTCACATCATATGCTGAATGCATTTCTAGAAATTTAGGTGCTGTTCATTCACTTTGCCAGTGTGTGGTGGAAGTTTGAAAGTGGGTGTACACATGTGCACACATTGGTGTGTTCACAAAAGGAAAAAGAATTGAAGTGGGTCTGCAAGGGTAATTCAGGACGCATGAGTTACTTTGAGTTTTTTCAGGTGGACCGTTTGCTTGAGTTGGCCAAGTGCCATTGAACCCACTAAATCTCTTAGATATGGCCGAGTTGCCATTTGTATTCAGCATATGTGCATGTTTAAGTTAACGTCTAGATTCTCCAGACTTAAAAACTTGCCGTTACTTGATAAGAGACATCTTCACTCTGCTGTTTTTAATAGTGCTTTACAATGTTCAAAGCAATAATCTAAAAGGACTTCATAACAGTCAGGATTTGTGTTATTGCTTTCCAGGACATTGTAATAAATTCTGCCGTTTTCCAGGTTCAAACCGTGTCTGTGAGCTCTCGTATGGAGAACACAGCAGCCTAAAGCTATCCTTTGAGGTTTGGGATGCTGCTCGGGTATTATTTAGAAAAGAAAAAACACTGAAATTGAACTTTGAGCAGGCAGCAGTAAATACAGTTAAAGTCTGTTGTCTTCAAGACCGCATGGGGTACTTTTGTGTAAGCCTTTAGCATGTGTATCTTTTAGGGATACAATTTTTTTATTTTGTACAAAACGCCTTTTGGCTCTTGCCCTCCTCTGGAATATATTTGAGGGTAATGAAAAGTAATTTCCTACAGTTCTTTCTTTGATTTAAAATGGTAAATTATACAATTCTGAGACTCAACAGTGTTGCATTATAATTCTGAGATGCTGATGTTTACCACACAAAAAAAAGTACAATTAGTATTGTAAACCTCAAGACCAATGCCCTGTCTCTAATTAGAGTGAAAACAGAAAATAAATGAAGGTACATTAGTGAATTATCTTTAAATATTTTTTTCTCTGTTGTCTGAAGAGAATAACTTTGCTTTTCTTTAATGACAGTCTGCCTCTTTGTCAATATATTTAAAAATCCCTACAGTTGAAGTTGGGTTTCTCTGAAGTCCACTCTGCGTTGTCAGTGCTAGGATTGTTTTCCTGAACGTAGGTGCAAAAGAAACTGGTTATTCTGTATTTACTCCCTTTTTATAACAAATTACTGACAGTGATTTTTTTTTGTATAATTTTTTTTTTCTGTGCTATATTCTGAAAAACTAAATAAGCACAAAAGGCTCCTGCAGATTACCGTATGTAATGTTTAAAATGCCTGAGTTAAAGTAAAATGTAAATAGTTTTGTGCATGTAATGGGCCAAAACTTGACCGTTTTTTTTCACCCCATTTAAGGGAAATTTGTACGCAAAAATGGCTGTTTATCTCTATATGGCTTGTTGCTTCATTTTATTTTAGTTGATCACATCCAATGTAAAGGGCTTTTCTTTTTTTTATCCAATGCATATATTTAAAAATGAAGACCTTTCTGTACTTCGATGTAATTATGATTATGTATATGTAATATAGTTGTAATTTCTGTAAGGGTTGTATGTAATTAAAATGTTAAATAGAAAACAAATCTGTGGTTAGTGAGTTAAATGAAAAATGCTCTCTAGGGCCACAGTTGCTACCCCTTCCAAACTCTTTGTCATGGTTTTATTAAAACTTGGGGGTGGTTTAAATTGTAAAAAATTGAAACAATCCAAATTTCATTGCATGCTATTATATGTAGTTAATAGTCCTGGAATGTAAAGTTCCTGAGACAGATAGAAAACCAAAGTTAAGTTATAATCAACGTACTCAATTAAACAATTAAAGGCTAATAATATAAAGGGTAGGCTAAAACGAATAAATGATAACCTTCCAAACAAAAACAGCCATATCAATGTGGTATTAAGAATTGTAATAAGTTATTGCTATCAGCAAAAACAAAGCCCCATCTTTTGTATTCTTAATTTTTGACGGAATTCAGATACTGTACCAAATCAGTAAAAAAATCCAAAGACTAGCCCGCTTCCGTGTCCGTGTTGATGACGTCTTGATTCTTGCGACGGTTTCGCGGGCTCGTCACACGCGTGTTTTGAAAACGCGACCTGCACTCGCTGTGGATGCTGTAGCCGCTGTTGAAGTGATTTTAGTAACGTTTGAACAATCATGTCGTTTGTGGAGGACGAAGTATCAGACAGTGGAGTGGGCTCTCGCTCGCGGTTGGAAACCTATGTGTTCAGTAAGATCAACAGTAGCGCGCTGCATGCTTTGTACATTTGCTAACAGCCTAACACGTGGGACAACCTCCCATTAAAAAGATAGCACAAATCGATAGCGAAAAATGCTACCTATCAGATTGTGCTACCAGCATCTTATTTATGTGGTTTGAGGCTTTTTAAAATGTTCATACCTAACGTTACCCCTACCCTAAACCTACACGTGCATACCTACCCTTACCCTAACCTTACCTTTAAAACAATGCAAATCTTTTTTTGGTAGCACAATCTGATGGGTAGCATGTTTCGTCGGTACAAACGGCAATTGTCCGACTGTTCTCTTATAATTGTAGCCAATGGTGTTTAACGTTCATCTAAAGAACCCTGGGTCACTGCATCAAGATATAGTTCAAACGTCGTCGTTTTCTGTAATTGTATTCATTTATGCATTTAAATTAAATATACCTATTTCATATTGTGGTTTTGGATTCCTTTTAGGTTGTGAGTTGTCTTCTGAAGTTCCATTTTACACATTTCAAGCAGATGAAGATGACGATGTAGAACATTTTCTCGAGCTTAGAACGGTTCGTAGACTATTTTGTTGCAAGAACAGTGTTCCAAAATTGAATGGCTCTGTATGGGTCAGCATTTACTTTCAATGCACTTTCTATGCAGTGCTAGTGAATGGTGACTGCCGTGTTCTACAAACAAATCATTTGGGTTTAATACGAAAGTGAAACAATTATATTTTTTATTTCTGCCTGATTTATGCTCTTAAATCAGTATGAAATTAAAATGATTCTATCAAATATATTTTATAAATGCATGTTATAGATATGAATATTTCAACAATTGAACAATGCATATATGTTTGTTTATTTAGACCAGGGGTGTCCAAACTCAGTCCTGGAGGGCCGATGTCCTGCAGAGTTTAGCTCCAACCCCAATTAAACACACCTGAACCAGCTAATCAAGCTCTTACTAGGCATACTAGAAACTTCAAGGCAGGCGTGTTGAGGCAAGTTGGAGCTAAACTCTGCAGGACACCGGCCCTCCAGGGCCGAGTTTAGGCAGCCCTGATTTAGACCTTTTTTAATGTTTAATCAAAGTGTTCTAACTGTGATCTTCTGGTGAAATTACAGACTTCTCTCTGGTAACATATGCAGGACTTCTCCAATCATTTAAGATGTGTGCAGATTCTAAAAATATTGCAGGCAAAAAGATTAATTGTCTATTGTCCATAGACTAGAGAAATGAAGCACAGCTCCCACCAAAAACACTTGCAAACCAAAACAGCTTTCTGACAGTGAAAGTGGTGAATCCATGTGACCAGCTTGAATTTGTTGCAAAATTTGCATGGGGAAATCTTTTGCGCTTATGTGAAATTCCAGATTTAATGGATTCCTATTGAAATGACTGGATTATGCATGCTGAAATTTGCTGAACCACGGTAGATGTCGCATTCATCTGCCTCCACTTTTAATGCTGGCCCACATCTCAAAATCCAGTGAACAACCGATGGATAGAACCAAGTCCCTGTCCTATATTATTTATTTTCCGATGAATGTCACAATATAGAAGAAAAGATCTGTCGCTGCTTGATGACGTGCTTTTAAAATCATAACTATTTACCTTTCTCTCAAACCATTAGATTTGTCTGGGTGACGGTGCCAAAGAGGAGAATAATGTTGTGGAAGTGACCGCTATGAATCACCAAGGAAAGAAAATATCAGTGCCTGTAGCTAATCTCAACATTTCCTGCCTGCCTATGGTAATGCCACATATTTTGGAGTTACTTTTTTTAATTATACTGTTGTACATTATAAGTGTTCCAACATATTGCAAGTTTTGAAATCCATTTTTCACATCTGTTCTTACTCAGGTAAGCCTCGGGGAGTTTGAGTTGATGGCGCTTTCTGACAGTGAAAGTGGTGAATCCATGTGACCAGCTTGAATTTGTTGCAAAATTTGCATGGGGAAATCTTTTGCGCTTATGTGAAATTCCAGATTTAATGGATTCCTATTGAAATGACTGGATTATGCATGCGGAAATTTGCTTAACCACGGTAGATGTCGCATTCATCTGCCTCCACTTTTAATGCTGGCCCACAACTCAAAATCCAGTGAACAACCGATGGATAGAACCAAGTCCCTGTCCTATATTATTTATTTTCCGATGAATGTCACAATATAGAAGAAAAGATCTGTCGCTGCTTGATGACGTGCTTTTAAAATCATAACTATTTACCTTTCTCTCAAACCATTAGATTTGTCTGGGTGACGGTGCCAAAGAGGAGAATAATGTTGTGGAAGTGACCGCTATGAATCACCAAGGAAAGAAAATATCAGTGCCTGTAGCTAATCTCAACATTTCCTGCCTGCCTATGGTAATGCCACATATTTTGGAGTTACTTTTTTTAATTATACTGTTGTACATTATAAGTGTTCCAACATATTGCAAGTTTTGAAATCCATTTTTCACATCTGTTCTTACTCAGGTAAGCCTCGGGGAGTTTGAGTTGATGGCTCCTGTCACACTACGCCTGAAATCTGGAACTGGACCAGTGACCGTCAGTGGGTTACATTTAATTGGTGAGGAATAAAACACGAGCACACAGTAGCTCTTTGTCACAAAATTGCTTTTAAAGCTGTTTTATCTTTTGTTTGATGCTAATAAATTCTTTTTCTTCAGCCACAGAGAATGAAGGGTCTGAATTATCAGATGAAGATGATGATGATGATGTCAGTGAGGAGGAAATGCCCTCAGTCAAACCAGCCAAGAAAAAGCAGAAAGCTTAATTAGAGATGCTTACACCAGACATTTATGTTTTATACAGTATTAGACTTGATGTTCTACTACGAGACGTGACGGAGTTGTGTAGAATTTAATGGAATTTTGTACTTGCAGATGTGGTTGCAAATGTTAAACAGAAAGGTTAAAGCCTCCATACAACCAGCTCCATGAACATTCATGTTGAAAATGTTTTAATAGTTAATACTGTTTCTTATGTGTATGTAAGTAACTGCCAACACCAAACTTCAGATTCACTCTCAGTCCTGTTCCCACTGAGCCACTTCATGCTGGGTTGATTCCAGATGAACGATCCTTGTAACACTAAAATGATATTGACAGTGACAGCCTGTCACTCTTCTGCCTTTAGGGAAAACACCAGCATTAATCTCTACAGATATTTCTCTCACACCGTTTTGTTTGAATTTTTTATTTTTTATTTTGCAATCAGGGTTTTTATATCCTAGTCCCTTTTTTAAGGACTGATAGAGTGAAGTTTTGCATGGTGCATTTTATGTCGAGATCAGTCTAGAAGGACTTGCCATGGTTGCCGTTTTTGTATTTTTACAGATTTATTTACAGATTCTGTAAATAAAATTTGTTTTAGTAGAATCAGTGCAATTGTTGCCTTTTTAAAAGCTCACTTTATAACTGTTTTGGCAAATTTGGTTTTGTAGCATTAGCACTGATGATGAAAGCTGTAATAATTGCTGGGTTTGGTATAATTACATCAACTGACTGAAAAAACACAGTGAGAGAGAGAGTTATCATTTTATCATGATATTATACAGTGTTAACATTCTCAATAATTTGAGTATAATTATATACAACATTTGATAATCAGAAGGGCAATGTGATCACAATAAAACCATAAAGGTATATATTCAGATAAGAGTGTTCTAGTCAAAAATAAAGAAAATTATATATATTTTTACTAGTGGGTGCAGGACACTATAGTTTATGTAAGTGAGGATAGCAAAATAAAGTAAACTTACATACCCAAATTTGGGACCAAAAATTATTCAGACACTTTGACCTGACCATGTTTTGCTTAAGTGTTTTTTTAATTGCTAATGCGACCTTTTTACACCACAGACTGAACAAATTTAAGCATTGCTTGGTAACTGGTTGAAATTGGTCAATTGTAAATTGGTATTATCTAATTGTGTACAGCTGACAGCTATTCAACCTAATTCATTACATACCTTTCTATCAAAGTTATCTGACGTGATCAAGATGATTTTTTTCTGACAAAGTTTAACTCTTTAAGTTCTTGTCATATTTTATTACATTTTTCTAAACTATAGCGAATAAACTGATAATATAAGGACACTATGGTTTATGTAAGTGAGGATAGCAAAATAAAGTAAACTGACATATCCAAATTTGGGACCAAAAATTATTCAGACACTTTGACCTGACCATGTTTTGCTTAAGTGTTTTTTTAATTGCTAATGCGACCTTTTTACACCACAGACTGAACAAATTTAAGCATTGCTTGGTAACTGGTTGAAATTGGTCAATTGTAAATTGGTATTATCTAATTGTGTACAGCTGACAGCTATTCAACCTAATTCATTACATACCTTTCTATCAAAGTTATCTGACGTGATCAAGATGATTTTTTTCTGACAAAGTTTAACTCTTTAAGTTCTTGTCATATTTTATTACATTTTTCTAAACTATAGCGAATAAACTGATAATATAAGAAATGTTGAAGGTGTCTGACTAAATTCTGGTTTGACTATATATAATCAGCGAACACGTCTATTTATTCCTTATTTTTGTAGTTTACCTTTTACATTTCTGCTGCTTTCTGAATTGTGTTGTGTTTCATAATTCTATTATTTGTAAATTGACTCTTTAATGGTTGGTTCTATTGTGACAACTTGCCCCATATAGAGTTGAGTAGTATGTTTTTCTTGGGCAATAACGGTGAAAATGTTCAGTGGCTGTAATAACTGTACTCAGACCTGACTTTAACGTATGCAGACAGTGACTTTGAAACCTGACCAGAGAAATGTTCAGAAAAAACGCTGTTCCTTTAAAATGACGCTAAAGGCCGGGGCCGTCACTTAGCTCCCCCTAGTAACCCTCTTCGGCGTCTCGGAAGATAGCTACCTGGAGAAAGATGGTGAGAAGTTATCTGCCTCTAGTCACGGCTTTGTGTATGTTATAATGAGTTAAGATTTAGGAAACTTAGAAAGTACGGGTCATTTATCGGAACTGGGAGCGTGTAGTCTGGCTCATTAGCAGCAGTAGTGGGTTTTCTGTAGGAGTGAACCCTAATGGCTCAGCTCAGCGGCGCTACTTGTTTTTCCGAAGCAGGAATGATTTCACTAAGTCAAGCAATGTAGACATCATGTTAATTACTGTAAACTAAGCACAACTCCGAAAACCAGAGCTCCTGCCTCTTTTTATACTGACATCTAGACGTAAAATTCACATTTAATATTACTAAAGTATTGGTAAGCAATTATGATATTGTATGCACCAGTGTTAAAGCGACAGTGTCATTTAATCACTTTTCAGTTTCAAGTATAAAGTGACTGAATGGTGACTGAGGCTGTTTTTCTAACATCTCCTTTTGTGCGGCATTTTGTATTTGACACAATCAACTGAATAACATTATCTTATTGTCTTTTTAATACTTTCTTATAGAAGGTTATTAAAATAGTTTATTTCTCACAAATGCCCTCATAGTGTCATTGTCTTGTTTAAAATCTGGTTATTGAACATATTATGTTTATTCCAGGGTTTGTTGTCAATTCTTAGAAAACTAAAGAGTGTCCCGGACCATGAGGTACGCATTCTGCTCCTGGGCTTAGACAATGGTGGAAAGACAACACTTCTCAAACAGCTGGCCTCTGAGGATATTAGTCACATCACCCCAACACAGGTAACACAAAAAGTAGCTACTAGACATTTTCTCCCTTTTGCAGAAATTACACATTTCTGTGTAAAAAAGTTGAGATGTTTATTATCATTGTTTCATAGAGTAATCTCGTAAGTGCTTCTGCTTTTATTTTGGTCTTGCTTTAGCACGGCACAACCTTGCCCAGTTGCTTTTAATTCTTCTGTCCTTGCCAGGGCTTTAACATTAAGAGCGTGCAGTCTCAGGGCTTCAAACTAAATGTCTGGGACATTGGAGGCCAGAGGAAGATAAGGCCGTACTGGAGAAACTACTTTGAAAATACAAACGTGCTCGTGAGTGTATCTTAAGAGATTTGTGTTTATGAGTTATGCATAGCCAGACCACTGAACAAATTGTCAGTTTATAGTTAATTTCTTCTCATGTACACTACTGTTCAAAAGTTTGGGGTCAGATTTTTAAGAAAGAAGTGGCTTATGCTCACTCAGATTGCATTTCTTAGATCAAAAATAGAGCTAAAACTGATATTATGAAATATTATTAACATTTAAAATAATTGTGTATTTTAATATATACTTAATGTAATTTATTGCTGTGACGGCAAAGCTTCATTTTCAGCATTACTCCATGTCACATATAATTCTAATATGCTGATTTGCTTCTCAAGAAAAAAATTTTTATTAGCAATGTTGAAAACGCTGCTTAACATTCTTGTGAAAACCGTAATGCATTTCTTTATTGATTTCAAAACGGCATGTATTTGAAAAGGAACTCTTTTGTAACATGTCTTTTACTGTCACTTTTGATCTTTTTAATGCAAGTATAAATTCAAAACATACTGACGCCAAGCATTTAAACAGTAGTGTATTTATATTTCTTGTGTAAGTAATATTTCCTAAATTGTTTGCTCTTTGGCATTATGTTTTTGTTTTTCAGATTTATGTCATAGACAGTGCAGACAGGAAGCGATTTGAGGAAACGGGGCAGGTATATATAGCAAATCTGTTTATTATTGCTTGTCATGTTTGTGTGCGTGCATCCAAGGCTTCTGCAGGATATTTCTCAGACTATGTGGCTTCACACTTTCTCAGGTTTTGCTACATTTTCCAGCTTTAGTACAGTTCACTGCAGCACTGATATTTCAAACTGATTTGAAGTGAAACACTACTAGATTGCTCAAAAGAAATGTGTAAGCATATATGTGATCTTGATATGCATTTGTTCAAGCAAATGCATGCTAAAAGTATTTGAATGAGCTATTTTGAATGGTTCATGTGATGTGCAGGAGTTGGCCGAGCTGCTGGATGAGGAGAAACTTAGTGGCGTACCTGTTTTGATCTTTGCAAATAAGCAAGACCTGCTGACTGCTGCTCCGGCCTCTGAGATCGCAGAGGGACTGAACCTGCACACCATTCGGGACCGCATGTGGCAAATTCAGTCCTGCTCTGCACTTACAGAAGAGGGAGTTCAGGTGAATCATCGGCCTTCTTTTATTTACCCATGCATTTGTTTTGGACCTTCCCATCAGAGATTGGTTTTCACATAAAGTGCTTCCTTCTTTCAGGATGGAATGAACTGGGTCTGCAAGAACGTTACTGCAAAGAAGAAGCAGTGAGTCTAGTGTATTTTTCTACAGCCGTTCAGGGAATGTTAAAAGCAAGCTTTGTGGACTGTGTGGATTCCCTACCAGCTCGTTCAGGTTAAAGGGATCTGAGGAGGTTCAGAGAGCCTTTTCTTTTTTCTCCTCTGAACCACCTCAGCCACTGCCTCAATTCCTCCGTCATCGGTCTGACTCACAGTCACTCCATAAACACTGTGCAATAGCATGATACTCCAAATGAATTTGATTTATAATGTCCAATCAACCACTGAAGTGAGTATAAGTGTTTTTGCATTATTATTATTATTAAGATAACACAAGTACAAATACCTTGGATTTCTATGATTTATTGCTTTTAGATGTTTTATACTGTGCTAGATTTTTTTAACAACATTTCTTGCATAGTCTGTGTTATTTGACTGGCTTGAACCAAAGTGTTATGAAAGCCAAGTTCTTAAATAGACACTTTACTGTGGGATGAGTGCTTGTAACATGTTTAGCCAACTTAAGCATCTGGCTGTGGCAGTGGAGAGGTTCTTTCTTTATGAGGACATCAGATTGAGAGCATTATATTCACATGATGCCTCCTGTAGTCAGAAGACTGAAGCACCAGATCAGCAGCACAGATGCTCTTGTCACAAACAGGAAATCAAAAGTAGATGGCATTTATGACCTCTTAATAGTTTGGCTTTTTCTTCTGTGATTTTGTGTCACAAGATTAAAACAGGCCATTTTATGTCTATTTCCTGCATTTTCTACTCAATAGTTTTTAGGAATGTGGGAGGGTGTTTGCTGGATGTTATGATGAACTGATCTGATGAATAATGACTCCTGCTTTCAGAACATTATTTCAGTTAACCACACTTATACTTTTCATTGTTATCATTCCATCATTTTTCTCTCTTACAAAACAATACATTAGAATTTATGAGTAGAAATATTTAAGAAATGTCAACAACATGAAAATGAATTATTTCTCGTTTGCATTTTCTTATTTTCAACACTTAAGCTCTAATTATATCCATAAATCTTTTTTGTACGTCTGTATGAAGGGGCAAATTTAATGGAGAAAGTCAAATGAGTAATTTCAAGTCTTAAGCCCAAAACACACTGCATGATTTTAGCAATCCTATAAGATTACTGCATGTCACACTGTGCGACATGGATCTAATAAACTTGGCTACGAGTACGACATGTGTGTAGACTACGATAATGAAACCTATTGACTCGTACGATACGACGCACGTTACTACAGAAGAATGAAGGTCATCAGCGATGCGCTAGTGGTAAACAAAAAAAGCATGATAAATCACACTTTAGCAGTTGTATTTTTTATGTGTGCTGAAAAAAAGTGGAAGCGGCGAAAGAGGAAGGGACAAGAGCTTGAGGTATTGAGGTAACGTTAAGCAGTTTTATGTTTTAGCGCCATGTTGATTTCATGTCACGTTTTTATTGGTTGGTCAGTAAACTTGGATCATAGCAGCAAACACACTGCAATGATCATGCTGTATTGTAGGCTATCTTTGGTCGCAAGACTGTGACAAAGGCTGTCTTTGAACCTCTCTCACTGTCTTTGAATAAAGTATTAAAAAAGTGTTTTCTTTGCATTCAAAAAGTATTCTCGTAGCTTCATAAAATTACGGTTGAACCACTGGTGTCACATGGATTATTTTACCGATCTCCTTGCTACGTTTCTGGACCTTGATCGTGGTAATTGCATTGCTGTCTAGGGGAGGGTCAGAGAGCTCTCAGAATGCATCAAAAATATTTAAATTTTGGGGTGAACTATACCTTTAAGATATTTTTTTATGAAATATAAGAGCTTTCTGACACTGCATAGACAGCAACGCAACTACCATGGGTCGTGGTACAGTACTGTCGTGAATGCGTGTCGAAATCTGACACAGAAAAGAAAAAATGGCTGAATAAAAAAAAATGTCTTTGCACACAAAAAGTATTCTCGTTGCTTCATAAAATTACGGCTGAACCACTGATGTCACATGGACTATTTTAAGAATGTCATTACTACCTTTCTGAGCCTTTAATGTGTCAGTTGCATTGTTGTCTATGGAGGGTCAGAAAGCTCTCGGATTTCATCAAAAATAGTTAATTTGTGTTCCGAAGATGAACAAAGACCTTGTGGGGTTTGAACGACATGAGGGTGAGTGATTTTTGAGTGAACTAACTCCTTAAGTCAGAACTACAGGTCAGGTCCTGTCATGTTACAGCACACTTAAATCAGTCCGCCTAAAATCAATGAGCTAGATTAAATTATCATAAAATCTCAATGTAAAGAGACCTGCATTTACCAAATGTGAGCAACATCCACTGTGCGCGATTTAATTTACATATGAAACACTGTCAGCTGAAATTAAAGGGATAGTTCACCCAAAAATGCCGCCACCTATCTCTCAAATGGACCATTGACACTCCCAATTGAGATTGTAGATAGTGTCAATGGTCCATTTGAGAGATAAGTGGCGACAATGCACTTATAAATCTGCGATCCGCCGTAAAGCAAGAAGACGCCTCACGCGCAGGCTGAATAAGGCGCGAAGGCACTCAGGACAGTTCAGACATTGCAGTGAAAATCAGAGGTAAAAAAATGATATAAATACTGTTCAGTTTCTTGCACGGACTGATTGTTTTGTCTTTTCACATCAATGTATCGTCACGAGCCGCAGGGTTTAATTTGGTTTTATTTGTGTATGTTTTATGACTCTCAAAGCCGTGATTCCCATTCACTGACATTATAGGACTAACAGACTGCAACGGTTTGAGTTAAAAATCTCCATTTGTGTTCTACCGAAGAAACAAAGTCACTTACATCTTGGATGCCCAGGGGGTAAGCAGGTAAACATAAAATGTTCTTTTTTGGGTGAACTATCCCTTTAAGTCGGCACAATGCAGGATTCAGGAACGCTGGAAAGTGCAAATTTTCCAGTAATTTAATTTCCTGGCGGTAATTTCCAGTTACGGTGGCAGGAACGTGGCTAGCTAAAACTACAACTTGAAACCACGGGGAGACAGGGCTACTTTTTTGTTTGTTTTTTTGTGAACTCTGTTCTCCAAACTAAGCTGACATCCATCTATCTATCTGTCTGTCGGTCTGTATAGTTGTCATTATGTCTATCTGTTATATTGATCATTCTGTGTTGAGAGAGGCAGATGTGGGCAGGTGGTATGACCCTGACCTTGTGTTCACTGAAGTTCTCCTCCCCCTCTGATGGCAAGGCTAATGTCACACCGCCGTCAACCCCTACGTTGCCATGGCAACTGCTCCAGCTGCTTTATGGTCATGTCAGAACTGTTAAATGTGTGGAGACCTGCTGTTTCATAAATGGGTAAAGGCACTGCCCGCTTTTCTCTGGAATAACTCATAGATATTGATCTTTTATTCTTGGTAACTGAAATGCATAAGCTTACTTGGACATCCAATGCCTGATTGACAGACAAAGCACTCAGAGATGGTGTGGGTTCACAAAAGAACTCATTCCTCAGAGTATACATTCACTCAACTCCTTGCTTGGCCCAGTCTTCAGTCCAAGCACTCAGCAAACACTGCACTCTTCAAACAAAGAGACACAGGGTGGGCTTCAATGCACCGGGACTGTCAGCACCTTCCTTTGCAAATCAGTGAGCAATAGACATTGGCTGATTTTTTAGTTTGTCCCCTGAATGACACTGAACTGGAATTCTCCACAGAGGCCACCTGGCCTGTGAAGGACATGGTGATGAGGTGCGTCAGCTGCAGGTGAGGCCAACCCACAGACTTCTGATTCCACTTTCTAGCTTAAAACATTGAAGTTAAAATTGAGTTACAAACCTGTTCAAAATTCAGTATTCTGTTATACTGAAGAAAAGAAAATTCTGTCATCTTCAAACCTTTATTCCTTTCTTTCTCATGTTTCAACTGTTTTGTTAAAACCTATGTTGTCCATATAGTGAAATTCAATGGTCCAAAACAACACTGGACCCTATTGACTTTCACACAATTAATAGTAATATTAAGAGAAGTATTATCGATGTAACTGTACTGACAATATCAGATGACAACAAAATTTGAACTGAATTGATCTAGACAATGACACTAACTTTGCAATACTGACAATGTTGTTGAACTGAACTGAATCAACACTGAAGTGAACTGAGCTGAATTATGACCTTATTGCCTTCTGAAGAGCTGCTTACAGATGAATTGAACACATTTTTAATAACTGATTAACTTTGTAACATTGACAGTTATTGCACTGAATTGAGTTGAATAATGACATTGTTGCATTCTGAAGTGCTGCTTTACAAAAATTTAATTTGTTTCATAATTGATCAGTACCTGACCGTAAGAACTACCTAACTAACTATTAATAAGCAGCAAATTAGGAGATTAATGAGGCAACAGTAATAGTTAATGGTTTGTTAATAGTGAGAATTGGGCCTTAAATTAAAGTGTGACCATTGATCATTTTACATTTACAGTGTTATTTTCCTGTTTATTAATGCGAAGCAGCTTCTTTTAAGAATCTATGTTGTACAAATTATATAAGTAAATGTGACGGATTAAAAAAAAACTTTTGCACTCCCACAGACGAAAGAAAGGTGTGCAAGTATAGAATCATGAATGAACAGAAATAAATTTGAGCAATTTTTTTTCATGAAATCTAAACTGACAGTGTTTATTCAAAATTATTTTCTTTTCAAAATTAAGTCTTTTTTCCCTTTCTTTTAAGAAGCTTAGATATACATCGCAAATGGGAAGAAAACATTTGCTGACCTGTCTCTGAAAAATGTCCAGTACTCAGGTGGGAAGTATTATCATGTTCCGTGCTGAATATTTAGGAATATTTTTTTTATATTTAGGAATAGTGTGTAGCGAATCAGCTCATGGGGAAATATGAATAATTAACCAATCGTACGGAAAACATCCAATGACGTTACAGATTTTTTTTGCAGTAACTAACTTTTGCCTTTGATGACATTTCCCGTTTCCATTTTAGCTAGTGTTGTCTTTTCTAGTAATCCTCCTTGCTTGATGATTCATAACCACGTATGTGTAGAAATCTATGAGGTTTACAGTAAAAGTTGCTATTTCAAAATGAGCATTGCAACACATAGGTAGCCGTAACAGTAAGGAAAGCGGAAAGCGAGAGCTGTGCCACAATCCTTAGACTAACCACGTCTAATGAGATGATGACATCTTTCATTTACACAACAATCACATTAACTGTTTCTGTTTGAATGGCTTAATACTTCCCCTGTGTCATC